TTCTGGTTTGGCTGTGGGTTCTGGTTTGGCTGTGGGTTCTGGTTTGGCTGTGGGTTCTGGTTTGGCTGTGGTGTGTGCTGGTGCTGTGGGTTCTGGTTTGGCTGTGGCTGTGGGTTTTGGCAGGGCTGTGGTTGGGGTGGATGGCCTTGCCTTTGTTGTCACAGAGGCCGGAGTGGTCTCTTCTACAACGAGTTCTGGTAAGAGATGAAAAGTGCCGTGGGTTAGACTGGCTCAGCTGACTCAGCGGATCCCCTGCACTGAGCAGGACCAGCAGAAACCAGTGAGGGGATGAAGAAGCAGCAGCCAACCCCTCTCTGGTCACTCTGGGCCATCCCCCACTCTGGGGTTGCCAACCTGGAGACACCACATCTCCCTCACACAATGCCCTGCCCTGCAAGGGGCAAAAAGTGCTGCCTAAGGGGATGCAAGGCCCTTGTCCAATTCTCCTCTTCCTGAGGCAGCTGACCTGTCTTAGGAGCAGCCATTGCTCCTGAGCTCTCATGGTCCAGCCTTGGACCTGCTGGCTCAGGGCTTCCTGAAACCTCCAGGAGGGTTCAGAGCTTGGACCCCAACCCAGGGGGTTCAGTCCCAACAGCCCCTCAAGGGACACGCGCGGCTTCGCTCACTCACCACACAGGTTGTTCACACAGACTGTGCCCTCGGGACACGTCGAGCACGGGGGTCCTTCCCAGTATGGCTTTTTCCCTTTCACATTACCCCTGGAAGCAGAAGATGCCAAGAAAAAGCAGGTATGAGGAAAAGGGAAACACCCACCCTGAAGAGGGGTCTGATTCAGCTGGGATATCCCAGCCAAGGCAAAACTCAGGATTAATGTAACAAACAGGTCATGGTCTCCTGCCACGGGCTGTCAGTGCCATTTACTCAACAGCCTGAGCCCAAGGCTGCTAAAGCCAGGGGACACAGCTCCATGGACCAGATCCTTCACTTCCCTTAGAACAAAGGCCTTCTTTGGAACCACTTTGCTTCTATTTCTGACCAAGGCCAACCCTGCTCTGATATCAGGACAGGAGGAAGGACATTTCCAGCACAGAAACCCCACAGAGATGCACCAAGCCATGCCAGGCCTGGGACTTACGCGGGATAATAGTTGCAAACCAGCAGGTGCATGTTCTCTGTTTCGATTCCTTCAATCTTCTCACAGAACTTTGCCCCGCAGCCAATCTGTTTTGTGTCTGACCAGACCACCTAAGGCAAAGACCAGGGTGAAGGTGAGGGGATTGGGTGAAGGCAACCTGTCCCCTGGCTTTGAAGGCTGCTCTGTGACTACACCAATCTTAGTGTGTGCCCCAGATCCCACATCCCCGTGTTGCTTTGGCATTCAGGATCCACCACCATCTCTGCTCCTCCTTGCACCCACCCAAGCTGTGAAGAAACCTCATCTCTCTGCCCAAGACAAGCTGGCACCCAGCTCTGCTGAGCAGCCATCCCTCCCCCCCAGCAGCTGGTACCTGGGTGTAGTGGCCACACATCTGCCCAGGGACACACGTGGATGTTGTCAAGTTGTAGAATTTCTCCTCCCCGTTCCAGTCTTCCACAGCAAATTCCAGTTCCAGCATTGGGGCCATAGCAAAGAGGTTTTCCCCCCGTCGGCCTCTCTCCTTGTTGTGGTCCCAGATGCACTTCTCTGCGTAGGATTGAGCAAGGCTCTCCAGCTCCTTGTCCCAGGTCTGAAAGCAGCTTGGCATCAGCACAGAGAAATGGACACCAGGCTCCCAGTGCTACCCAACACAGTCCTCAGGGGAGGGGAGCTCCATGGTCAGACCCAGCATAACCCAAACCTTGGCTTACAGGTCAAACAGGAGAAGGTCAGTGCATCAGCACGACCCTCACAGCCTCTCCTGAAGCACATCCAACATCATCACGGAGCATCCTCAGCTCAGTGAGGAGAAACCGTGAAGTCGGGTGGAGGAAGGGAGGAAACCCACCCTGGGTCACGCCAGAGGGGGCCTGGGGACATCCCTCCCTGCCCAGGGTGGGGTGGGAGGAGAGCAGGACACATCTCCCCTACCAGCTGTACAAAACCCAGGCACACACGCTCCTGGGAAACATCATGTTTTTGCCTGGATCCGAGACATTCCCGGCTGGGCGCCTGCCAGGAGCCCCCTCCGGAGCGGCAGTGGGCCCGCCACCAGCTGAGCCCCCTTGGCCACATTGATATGCAGGAGAAGGAGGAGGAGGAGGAGAGGTCTCCCTGCAGGGATGCACAGGAGGAATCCTACACCGCAGCTGTTTGGACCATCCCTGAGCCATTTGATGGAGGAGCAGCTTTGAGCTGGAAGGCAGCCCAGCAAACAGGGGGTCCTAAGGGGGGACCTTCCCAGCCGGAGCCAGGGCTGGATCCAAAGGGGGACAGAGCGTGGCCCTGATGCAGGGCATGTCACCATCGGGGTGTTGAGGGCACTGGGAGGGAAGGAAGCACCTGGATGGGGACAGGGGGTGTTGGATCACCTCCCACCACGGCCCCAGCCAGGCTGAGAGCGGCGGCTGGAGACCCCGTCTGGGGAGCGCACCCCCCCCTCCCTCTGGCACCGAGCTGGGCTCCATAAACTGGCGACTTGCACCTGCAGATTTGCCTCATTAAAAACGGAATTGGCTTTAGGCTGCATATCCCCCCCAGTGCCTAAACATTTCCACGGCAACCAGCCCGTGTCCCAGAAGGAAGCGGGGTGACCTCAGCCAGGCGCGGTGCCACGGCAGCAGGTGAGCCCGGGGGCAAAGGCAGCCCAGGCGAACACCCCAGGAGGGAGGCAGGGATGGCTCTCACGGAAAACCTCTACCAAGGAATTGTCAGGGCTGCTGTAAGCTAAACATTTGCCGTGCTTCAAAGAAAACCAACCCCCAAGCGTTTGGCTCCAGACCACGAGCGGGTCCTGGGTGTTTAAGCAGCGCTACCAAGGGAGCATCTCGAAGCACAGGGTCTGCAATCAAAGCCTCAGCAGGGAGCAGCCGTCACAGGTTTGGAATTGCACTGACTTAAAGACCCTGAGAGATCCTTTTCCTCAGGCTTTCTGTAAGACTTTGGCTCCAAAGCCCTGATACTCCAAGTTTTCTGTGCCTGGCCTGGTGGGTTCCGCAGGATTATGGGCCTTAATATTCTGGCTCTGTCCCCGTTGAGTCTGAAGCCATAGTCAGACCTCCTCCCCCTGAATTTAGCTTTTTGCTACAATTTACCAGCCCACAAAGGTTTTACTCCACCTGGGCAACCTTTGGGCCAGACAGGGAGGTCTCCTCCAAGCGCAAGGGGACCCAAAGAGGAAAGGACTCCAACTATCCATGGTAAACAGTTGTCCTTCTCCACGTGATTTGCAGAGAGTGAGGAAAAATCACCCAGTGCAGGAGTTAATCAAATCAGGAGCCCAAAGAAGACAAAAAGTAGCACCAGCTCCAGAGCTCATTTTCCCTTCCACTGCAGCCACAGGTGCTGTGGGACATGATTTGGCTTTCTGGAGCAAAACAGGAGATCCTTCACCATAAAGACACCAAGTCATGGTGAGGATTAGGAACGTGATGAACAGCCCAAATCCCTGAAAAACCTGACTGACATGTTTGAAGTTGAAGGTCCCTCCTATAGATAAAAGCTTCTTCAAATGCAAAGGCAAATACAAAGCACCAGATGATGCCCCACACAGCAGGATTTCCCCTCCAGCTCCTGCAAATGGCCATGGCAACATCTCCAGCTCATGGCACCTGCTCATGGCAAGGT